GGGATTGAACTCAGGTCCCTGCACTTGCCAGGCAAGCACTTATTCCACTAAGCTATCTCCCCGGCCCTAGAATATATATGTTCTAGAGGTGTACACCACTATGCCTAGACTCTGTGGCCAGCTCAGCCCATCCTGGGGAGCAGGGCTGACCCAGCATGTGGTGCCCCGGATTGAACTGAGGTCCCTGAGCTATTGTGCCTAAGCTTGCCTATGCAGGTGCTTTAGTCTGCTGAGCTATCTCTCTGGCCCCTAGAAGATACTTTCTTTTTTTTTTCTTTCTTTCTTTTTTGTAGTTTAGGAAAGAGTTTACAGGGTGTTCAGGGTCTCACAACTAGATTGGACTCATAGTGATCTGCCTGTTTACAGCCTTCCAAGAGCTGGGATTACAGGCGCACACCACCCGCCCAGTCTCAATCAACGTTTCAGTGCCCCCCCCCATGGGGCTGGCGCGACAGGTCCGGAAATCAAACCCCAGGCCCTTCCACCTGCTTGCAGACACTTTAATCCGCTGAGCTATTTGGCCAGCCCTAAGATATTTTCTTTTTATTTATTTATTTATTTATTTTTTTTTTTTGCAGAATCGAGGATTGAACTCAGGCCCTTGTGCTTACCAGGGAAGTGCTTATTCCACTGAGCCATCTCCCCGGCCCCGATATTTTCTTAAAATAACTAAAATAATGTGCATTTTACCTTTGGGCATCTTGCATTGCATCATACATATTATCTCTGAATGAGTTGATGTGAAGTTATAGTAAAACCCATATCTCACTGCTCTTAATTTTTTTTTTTTTTTTCAGAACTGGGAATTGAACTCAGGCCCTTGTGCTTGCCAGGCAAGCGCTTATTCTACTGAGTAATCTCCCCGGCCCCTGCTCTTAATTCTCTTAAAAATAACTTTTTAAAAATGCGTTTGGTGCAGGGTCTCACTATGCAGCTCAGATTCATAGTGATCCTCCTGTCTCAGTCTCCCCAGCGCTGGGATTCCAGGCGGCACCACCACATCCGGTCTCAGTGGTGGGCTCAGCGCACCCGGGGGTGGGCCCACGTGGCATGTGGTGCTGGGATCAAATCCCCATCCCTGTGCTTGCCTAAGCAGGCGCTTGGTCCACTGAGCTATCTTGCCAGCCCTTGTTGCTCTTAATTTTAAAACTGAAGATATAGCTTACATTTAAGGGAAGTCATGGGGCCGGGGAGATGGCTCAGTGGAATAAGCGCTTCCCTGGCAAGTGTAAGTGCCTCAGTTCAATCCCTGGTTCTGCCCCCCAAAAAGGGAAGTCATGTTTCCTCATGTGGTGCTGTGGTTGTGGCACATGTGTGGAATTGCACGCTCGCCTCTACAATCAGGAAAGGCAGCATTTCCATTGCCCCTCTAGGTCCTGTGCCTTTTTTTTTTTTTTTTGCAGAACCAGGGATTGAACTCAGGCCCTTGTGCTTGCCAGGCAAGTGCTTATCCTACTGAACTATCTCCCTGGCTCCTCCTGTGCTCATTTGTAATGACATTAACACTTGTGTCCAGCTGTGTTTCCAGCTGCAAGCCTGCTTTCCATCTGCCATGGTTTTGCCTTTTCTAGCAGCTACCAGGCAGGACCATGTACTCTGCAGCCCAGGGAGCCAGCCCTCTTGCCTTTAGCCGCCTTCATTAGAGGCTTGCCAAGTTGCTTTGGGGCTCTGTATCTGCAATTCATTCTTTTTCATGGCCGAGTAGTATTTGTAACATGAATGCTGTGTTCGACAGTTTGTTGACTCATATTCGCCACATGAAGGGCAGCTGGTTCATTTCCAGTCCTGGGCAAAAGCAAATACAACCTGCATCCGCATCCAGGCTTTGTGAGAACATCAATTTCCATGTCACTTGTGTAAATATTCAGGAGTACGATGGCCGGGCCACGTGACAAGTGTATATTTAACTGTATAAAAACCCTGCCTAGTAGGGGAGAATTGAACCCAGGGCGCACTGAGCTACACTGCCAGCTCTGTTAATTTGATTTTGAGATGAGGTTTTGTAAAGTTGCCCAGCCTGAGCCCAAATTTGCAATCCTTCTGCCTCAGCCTCCCAAGCACCTGGCATCGCAGATTACTCTTTTGTTTTTAGAATTGTAGCTCCACATGCCACTTAAGGAATGATATGGAGAGATCCCAGTTTCCCCAGTCGTAGCATCTGCACTATTAGAATGTTGGTAGGGATTCCACTCCCTGGCCTTGGTCTGGTTTCAGCAGCCTCACACGTGTTCTTTTGCAGGTATCTGAGTATTTGGGTCTATGTCACTTTGTGCTTTGCAGACTCATGTGACAACTACAGTCAAGACTGAGAATGGTTTATGTCCAGGACACTTTCTGCTATGATCTGTCAAAGGGGCTGAATTAGAGTAATTCCGCTTAAGGGTCTTTTGGGGGAGGGAGATGCTGGGTGCTGAACACAGTGCTCCTCGGGGTGTGGGGGCATGCATCTGCAAGCCCACCTACCTCAGGGAAGCTGAGGCAGGAGGATCACTGCAGTCCAGAAGTTTGAAGTCAGTCTGGGCTGCATGGCAAGGACCTGGTGAGTTGCTTTCCCCACGGCAGCCAGGGAGCAGGGAGGGAGAAGGAGCTGCAAAGGAACAGGCCCTCTCAGGCGGGGGCCACACCACCGGGGAGCTGTCCCTATGGCAGGGCCCCATTTCTGGGCCCAGGGCCTGAAGACAGTGGAAACAGAAGACCAAGAAAGGCTGATTGGTCCTTTCCTTGCAAAGCAGAGAGGATGATGGGAAAATCATGGACGAGTCAGTATAGATGCTCTCAGGTTAGTATACTGTGTAAGGCTTCAGGCAGAGCAGACGATACTGTCATGGTCCTTGAAGCAGACCTACTTGGGAAATTGGGCTGTTAGCCCTCTAATCCAAATTTCTGCCGAAGTCAGGAAACAGCTTATTTTCAGCTTTAGCATGAGTGACTCCATTTTGATTTTTAGTCCACAAGAGCTTAGTTCAAAGCAATGACTTCCTATGATTTTTTTTTTTTTTTTTTTTTTTTTTTTTTTTTGCAGAACCAGGGATTGAACTCAGGCCGTTGAGCTTGCCAGGGAAGCGCTTATTTCACTGAGCCATCTCCCCGGCCCCTCCTATGATTTTTATTTTGCACCTTTTACACACATTCCCACCTCCGACCTCTCCCCTCCCTAATCTCTAGCGACCATTCATCTATTCCCCATCTGTATAGTTTTTTGGTTTGTTTTTTTTTCCCCCGGAACGGGTGATTGAACTCAGGCTATCAACTGAGCTATCTCCCTAGCCCCGAT